GTTTTAGGTAAGACAACCAAATCCAGGGTGAAAAACCATCTGGACCATGTGCCACAAAGCCCCTTTCCTCCGCTCTCCGAGGCAAAAAATAGATAAACTGAGTGACAGTTTTAATTTTTTTTTTTTTTTTTTGTTAAATTAGTGTAACATTACTTTCATAAAATAAATGCGAAAAAAGTAAAAATTTCACGTTCCAAAAATCAGAGTTTGTGGCAAGGAGGACGAGTTTGGGTCAAATGATTCCCTCTGACACTGCCGCACTATCACGAAGCTGTTTTCAAAAATAAACTTATAAAAAAATGGAAAGAGGCAAAAAAGAATCAAAAGATATGTTTGACGCAGGACCCACTAGTTTGAGTTTTTTTGTGGAAATGGAGTGTTTTTTTTTTTACTTTTTTAAATGTCATGAATACATTCTCCATACATTCATTTTACTGAAACACTGTTTTCATCGCAACTACGAAGGCTAAGTTTGTTTCTGATAAGATGCCTGGGCTTTCCAATTCTGTCGCGCGGTGAGCTTTCATCCTTTCTACTAAAACTGTTATTACTATTATATTACTATGTAAACTATTAAATTTGGCAATGGACCACTAGACAAGGTAAGGATTTCAGCATTATGATACATGTTTCATAATCAAAATTTCACGTAGAACATGATACGCACAACGAAAATTACCGAAATCAACTCCTTACGAAGATATTTAATGATTCTTGATGCGTGAATTCAAGCCACCCGCTCATGAAAACTCAATGCTCTGCGTGATTCACATCGCGCGCTAAACGTTTATCATAACAGTCTCTGCGATATAAAAATCTGGCAATCTCGATCTTGACGCTTTGGCTCAGCTACAGCAAATCGCCTATAGTTTGAACACCACATGATGGGAAATGAACATTGCTCGATAGAGCAGATTGCCGAAACCGTTGTAGTGCGAGATTTGACTCACGCAGAGCTTTGAGTTTCTTGTGAGCGGGCAGTTCAAATTTCTCGTAACCAATGTGAAATAAAAACGTTAGTATCATCGTTAGGAGTTGGTTTTAGTAATTTAATTGCGCGAGTCGTGTTCTACGTGAAATTTTGGTTGCGAAACATGTATCAGAATGCTTAAATTCGTACCTTGTCTAATGGTCCATTTCTGAATACATCAGACGCCTCGTCTTTATCCGTCAATGATAGTTCTTCACTTCTATTATGCTGCGCACTGCACATACTTTCCCTAATTTAGGAGCTTCGGATGTTTTTTCATTGGTAATTGTGTCGATGTTCAGTCGTTATCCAACCGAATTCCGTTATTATAATAACATTCTGTAAATTTCTGTCTTTCATGCAATCCAATACCGTAAAAATGATCCATGACTTTGACAAAGAGCTCTAGAGCTTTAAAGTGAATTCCTCATGTCAATACTTAGTTTAAAACTCTCAAAACCTTGAAGCCTCACAGTCGTAGAAAACGGACAGAGATGACAATTAATTAACCATGAAACATGAAATTGGCTCTTAATACTGGGACTTGCACCCAAGTTAAAGGATAAATCTATCAGTTCATTAATAATCTGCATCTTCATTAGTATTCTGCTAAAAGTTAGGACTTGAGAGGATGTAAATCTTTTTTAAACATAGACACAGATGGCGGGTGAACGAGTTGTTTTCAAAACGGGTCATCTTTTTTTTTCACTGTGAGCCTTGAAGTAATCTGAAAATTGACTTGGTCTCTTTTGAAAACACCTCACTCAGGTATTCTCAGGCCCTGACCATCCTAAGTTGTTTGCTCGATTCGGGGTTGAAAAGAATAAAACGAATATTTGAAACTTTTGGCGAAAGTGTAAACAATACGTCGAGATTCAATGATTCTTGATGCTTAATATGTGACGAATTGTTGCGTCGTGTTGGTAAATGACAACGTGTGATAACAAAACCGATTAGAGGAGGTCAGCGCGAAAAAAAGGAGGGAAATATTTGTGCGCAATGCCGATGAGGCGTGAACGATCGACTATCGAAATGTCCCCTATTTGAAGCTAAGGTAAAAGATCGATATTATTAAGGTGTTCGTTGCAAACTCCTGTTCGTCGATCCTTTTCCATAGGTTTAAATGGCAGATCAATCGATATATCGCAAAGCACGCCACGTCGCCATTCCCTGGTAAAAATTGGCGATAGGAGCTGCGTTTCAAAATACCATAGAAATTCTTATAGCCGGCTAAAGAAGGCGGCAGAAATTATATCGCTGGCTGTAGAATGCGGAGAAAATCATACGGCCGGGCTATACGAAGCGATAAAAAATTAAACAGCCGGGCTATAGTTCCTGTTGCCGGGCTTTACACTTTATCGCCTGGCTGTTGTTTTTTCGCCATCGGCTATAAAAGGCTATAAGAAATTATGTAGAAATTCGTGTGCTTTGTAAATCCTTAAGTTTGTACGGAATCACCATAATATTTACAAAACGCACATTATATTTTCCTATACTACATATTTGTTTTCATCAATTAAAATGAGAATAATCCATACATAGTGTGCAAACATTTTAAAGTTATGAGTTGAAAAACGCTGACTCCACGAGATTAAATATTAAAGCCTAACACAAAGCGTAGCGGCGGCGCACTGGCGCCTACAAACCTAACATGGATACTTCACGCATTGCGCAATGTGTGAAGTATCCCTGTTGGGTTTGTAGGCGCCAATGCGCGTTTCGCGCTGGCTGCCCGCCCGCCGCGCCTCGCCGCAGCGTACCACGGCGCTCGAAGCAACTATTTCACACCAGAGGTATTGCACAGTATCATACGAAATTGAAGGCGCTCTAATATATTCGGAATGGCAGGCATCCTTAGAAAGTACGGAGCTTTCCTCGCAAAATAAATCAAGATACTGCGGCCCAAACAGAGAGCGGTAGTTCAAAAACTCACTAAGTCCTAGCATCCGTAATTAGTAACGTTTAGCATACACTTTATCGCCAGGCTATTGCTTAATCGCCATCGGCTATAAAAGGCTATAAGAAATTGTGTTGCCGGCTATAGGAGCTATTGGAAATCTTACAGCCGGCTGTGGGTCTATGGTATTTTGGAACACAGATTCTACTGCCAATTTTTACCAGGGTTTGTACGGTGACCTGTCCTTCGGGGTAGACTTAATACAAGATATTTCATAGCGTGTTGAAATTTCAGTATAGTGTGCGGATTCACTCTGATTTTCCCTTAAGCATTTTCATAAAGAGAACATTTTAACGAAGGCCAGACATCCTTGAGATGTCGCCCTTTGAGAGAAAAAGTAATTAAAGGTTACTTACCCGCGTGTAACTATTAAAGAGCCTTGTTAAAAATGGGTCGAAATTCGCCCCTTTTTAGGCCCTCGATTTTGCCAACGGGACTTGCGCCAAATTGTTGCATATGATGCCCCAAGATAAAAATTTCAGCTTGAGTTGAAAAGCGGTTTCGGAGATACGGGGGGGGTGAAGTGGGGGAGTTGAGCGGCTGGCGTGCGCTCTTTCCGCGGCTGTTCCTCGCCAAATCTTCGTTTTGATGTCACCCATTACATGTTTTTCTATGTAATTTTTTGCGTACTTTCCATTTCTGACCTTAAAAATTACTTACAACCACTTTTCAAGGCGCTAGGGGGTGAAAATAGGGGTTGAACGGCTGGCGGCGCGCTCTTCCGCGGCTGTTCCTCGCCAAATCATCGTTTAATTGTCACCCATTACATGTTTTTCTATGTAATTTTCCGCGTACTTTTCATTTATGACCTTAAAAACTACTTACAACCACTTTTGAAGGCGCTAGGGAGTGAAAATGAGAGTTGAACGGCTGGCGGCGCGCTCTTTCCGCGGCTGTTCCTCGCCAAATCCTCGATTTGATGTCATCCAATACATGTTTTCTGATGTAATTTTCTGCATACTTTCCATTTCTGACCTCAAAAATGACTTAAAACCACTTTTCAAGGGGCTACGGATTTTGTCACAGTTTTTTTTTTCTTTTTGGAGTTCTTTCAATTTATTTCGTATTATTCCTTAAGATCTATTGCTGCCGTATATTTTCAAGTTTTTTCAGTGTACCTCACACGCCTTACGAGAAAATATATACGCATGATTTCATCGGAACATA